TTCCACCTTTGTAACAGGCTGTGGGAGGGGCCTTACGTCACAGGATCTCCCAGAGCACGGCATCCCCAAGGGGCTTGCTGCAATGTGACTCGGGGCCGGATCACAGGAAAGACACATTAAGTCTCAGGGCACGAGATGGAGGGTTGACCAGGGGCGAGGCCAACAAGCAACGTGTCCTCACCTTCACGTGCTCCCCGAAGTGCCTGTTCTCTGGCCGGGCCCTCTAACTAGCTGCAGCGGGGCAGAGGTGGCAAAATCTAGAGCTAGCCCTCAATGGAGACGGCACAGACCAGTTTGCTAGCTGTAAGTGAGCTCCGTTATCCTGCCAGTAACTGAACTCTCTTCCTCCGCCAGCATGTCCTAGGCTGGCCATGAGTTTTCTCAGCGTGCGCACCTAGGTCAGGCTGCTGTAGGGGAGGGCGGCCATCGGAGTCCTTATAATCAGCCAGCGTGCTCATTAACGTGCTCGGAAGGCTCCAAGGACGGTGTGCACTCAGAGCACTTTTTTTTTTCTAACCCCCTCGTCTCATGGGCAAGACCAGGCAATTAGGGAGCGCACGTGACGGGGACAGGCCACCTGTCGCACGCTCGCCTACACGCCCAGCCAGGCTGAGAACCTCGTCCAGGGCACCTGTGGCCAGAAGGCCTAGGGGTTCACCGGGTGGCAGGTAAGCAGTGGGCCACAACCTCCGTGTTAGGCGCATGCACGCATGCACACACACACACACACACACACACACACGACTCACATGAAACTGTCTACTTCACTTGGATGGAGGACCATTTCACTTCTCCGTCCAGCCAGGTATACCACGGAGCACGGGTCTCTGCAGCACTGACAAGGGATGGCCCACTTCTCCCACTGAGCTTCGGTCGTAGGTGGAGCACATGCTGCCCGTGGGCTGCCCGGATCCCCACGGTGCTCAACATTCTCGGCACGCAGAGTCTACTGCGAGTGCTTGTGACTCTCGGTACGAGGGTATCGTCTGGCCACGGCGGCTTGGGTGGCTCTCCTAAGCGGCAACGTGGAGTGACAGGGAATGACCCGGGGCTGTCCTCAGCCAATGAGAGACAGGAGTGGAGGGATCAACACCCCAGCTGCCTTGCCTCTCCGGTAGAAGTAGCCGACGCTCGTTTGGTACTGTCCCCCAGAGCTGCCTGCAGGGACGAGCTGTCCTCAGCGGGTTCCTGCTCAGGGACATGCCTGTTGCTGCCTTCTTTTCCAGGGCATCCCCTTTCCCGTACGGGTGCTTCTGGGGATGAGCTCCCAGATAAACCACTTGCACTCAGATCCTCTCCTCAGGGTGCGCTTCCGGGGAGACCCGACCTCAGACACGGCCAAGGCAGCAGCCGCAGACCTGCTCCACCGACGGCAGGTGGGGGTGGGGGGGGTGCAGACAGGCCTCTCTACCCAGTGACACGGCCCTGGGACGGCGGCCAACCATATGCATTCGGATCGCGCTCATGGTTTACAGAGCAGGCAGGGTTTTGGCCTCCCCCCAGGGGATGGTGGGCAATATCTGGAGCCACTTTTGGTTTTGCAGCCGAGGGTGAGTGCTGCTGGCATGCAGCAGGGAGCGCCAGAGGTGCTGCTGACCTTCCTGCCACGCAGGGGCAGCCCCCGCACCACCAATGTCAACAGTGCCGAGGTTCGCAAACCCCGGCACGGTAGAGCGGTAGAGCGCCAGAGCCCCGACCTGGCTGTGGGTACCTCTCTCATCTCTGGAAGGGGATCAAAGATTTCCTTGACAAGATTTTGAGGAGTCTTGAGTTGAGGGAACTGGAGCGTGGAGTCCATCATTCCTTCGTGCTACAGAGCCAACCTCGTGCCAAGCAACGACCAAGCTGGTGAGGAAACAAGGATGGAAAAGACATGGTCTCCGCCCTCCGGGAATCCAGAGGCAGGTGGGGACAGCCGGTGCACACACGCAGTTCCTTTCCAACGCGCGTGCTCCTCCCGCGGAACAGCAGAGGGCAGGACGCATGCTTCTTGGAGGTCAGGGCTGCATGTAGGAGGTGAAAGGGGGAGATGGGCGGGCGGCTCAGCAGGGAGGGCCCTCTCAGCAGAAGAAGCAAGCTTTTGCTGGGCCTGAGTGCCCTGAAAGGGTTAGCCTGTCCGTGGCATGGCGACTATGCTCAGAGCGCAGACACAGGAGAAAGAGGGGCGGAGAGCTGGGCTGGGAAGGGGGCGGGCGCCAGGGGCCTGGGGGCCTAGCTGAAGGGCCCGGACAAGGTGAGGCAAGTGAGGCATCCAGGGCACCGCCCCGATGGGGCTGGCACAACCCGGGGGCTGGGTGGCCCCCTCAACCTGGTGGCCTGGCCCCCTCACGTGCCCCGCCCTAGGCCGGGCGTCCCTCCTTTGCCGTGCTGCCAAGCTGGGAGTCCCGTCTGCCGTCCAGGAGCGGCCGCACAAGTCTTGAACTTCCTTACTTCTTCGGAGGCTGTTTGGATCCCTGGATAGAAAAATATGCTTTAGGGGCGCCTGGGTGGCTCAGTCGGTTAAGCGGCTGACTCTTGATTTCGCCTCAGGTCATGATCTCACAAATTTGTGAGATCAAGTCCCGTGTCGGGCTCTGTGCTGTCAGAGCAGAGCCTGCTTGGGATTTTCTCCCTCCCTCTCTCTCTCCCTCCCCCCTCTGCCTCTCCGTCTCTCTCAAAATAAATAAATAAACATTTTAAAAAAAAGAGAGAAAAATATGCTCTAGCCATCCAGTCTGGGACTTAGCCTCAATTCGGGCAAGCGGCGATGGGGAAAAGAGATGGGGAGGATGTGAAAAGAGTTCAGGAATGAAACTTGATTTCAAGGCCCCTTGAGGCACTCCCCAAGTGTCCGTTTGCCCAAAGACGGTTGATACGCAAGCAGAAAAGTATTCTGGTCTATCCCTGAATGAGGGTCATCTCTCAGGAACTCGGAGTGAAAAAGGTTTTAATCCTCTTTCAATACAATGTATCTGCTATGCATGTGATTGTCATAATTGCCATTGGTTAAAATCCACGTGCATTTTGATTTTATAGTTGTGTGAAATTCGGGACTTTCCCCGATCTGGCTGGTCTTTCTTCTTTTCCTTTCTGAGGCTTTTCTATGAACACCCTCTTATCGCCATGTCTCACACAGACGTCAAGAGATCCCTTTATTTATTTATTTTTCCATGTGTCTTTGTTTTTTTTGTTTTTTTTTTACAAATAGTTTATTGTCAAATTAGTTTCCACATAACACCCAGTGCTCATCCCCACAAGTGCCCTCCTCCATGTCCATCCCCCCTCCCCCCCACATCCATCAGTCCTCAGTTTTTGTCAGCATTCAAGAGTCTCTCATGGTTTGCCTCTCTCCCTTTCCCCCCTTCTTCTCGCGATTGGTCCTCCGTTAAGTTCCTCCTAATCCTCCTATACTTGAAAACATATGATATTTGTCCTTCTCTGCCTGACTTATTTCGCTCAGCATAACACCCTCAAGGTCCATCCATGTAGCTACACATGGCCAGATTTCATTGTTTCTCATTGCCATGTAGTATTCCATGGTATAGATAAACCACATCTTCTTGATCCATTC